CCTTTGGTTGATGACATATGGAGGGGATTGTAATCATGGCAATGAAACAATATATGATAGGATGAATGTACAACTAATGTTCTCCCATATAAACTATCACATAATTCACAATGAAACATTAAAAAAACAAAACTTAGTCATTGAAAACCCTATAGAACACAGTTCTAGTCTGACGCACATGGGATTACCATGCGTCAACTGAACAGCAACTAGCATGTAAATTATTTCCTTAATATTTTATATTAAGTATATATGTTAAACTGTTAAACTGATTATATTTTGGATGTATTTGATTAAACAGATATTTTAAAAATTAATTTTACCTGTTTTCTTTTTTTACTTATTTGTACTTCTTTTTGACTTTTGGAAAATTTGCAATTATTTAAGTGACTTTTATTCTATTTCCATTGACCAGTGTTCTTCTAAGAAATGTAAGCAGCAGGAATGGAAGGCTGAAGGACTACAAAGGCTACAGAAGGAGTTTTAGAAAGTGCTTCCTGAGTACCAAGGTGTCTGGCCTTGGCTGAGTGGGTCAGAAGAAGCTGATGAAGGCTGGAGGCTGCCACCCAAGAGGACAGGGACAAGAAGGTCTCAGGAGGATGTGAGCAATGGAGATGGAAAGAAAAGGGCTTCGGGCAAAGGAAGCTGAGTGAGCAAACAGAGACAGGGCATGTCTAGAAAACAGTGAAATATTTTGTATGGAGAGCAGGGTCCAGAGTAGGAGTACAAGAGATGATGCAGAGAGATATATTTCTGCCAAAATTTTAGGGATCTTTTGTTCAGACTGTCTTTGAACTAGCTGAATTTGGACCTTTTTCCTTGTTCACTTTTACAGAAAGCCAAGAATTCATATAGAAGAGAATCCTTGACTTGGCTGATAGGAGAGAAGGAAATGAAACTCTTTGTACTTGGAAGCTTACAAAAAAAATTATTAGATAGTGTGAATGTATATCCAGAGTCTTGAGCACAGTATTCACCATTAGCTTTCTGTGTAGCCTCTAACATGGCTTCCTAGAATCAGAGGCCACACAGCAGGCTAGAGGTCACTGAGAATAAAACACAATCACCAAACTGCTCAGATATGAGCTCTTCTTTAACAGGCTGCTTACTTATGGCCTCTTTATGCTCCAATTCCCACACATTGGGTGGCTGGCTGCAGGACGTCACAAAGTCTTGACAGCAACAAACGACTTTTTATTTAAGCCAGCACAGCTAGCCAATCTCTTAAGGGTAAGGAAAGGAGTGTGATGATAAAAAACAAAAAGGCTGGACAGTCACACTGGAAACAGGGGATCCCAGTCACACACTCCAGGAGACAGAAGGCAATCATCCAAAACAAACTGAAACATGGAATTGTTTCTTTATAACAGTAACAATAAAATAGGAAAATATCCACTGATTACAGCAGCCAGTATCCACTGATTACAGCAACCAATATCCACTGATTACAGCAACCGACATCTCAAGGAAAAGTTATTAGAAAAGATAAATGGAAGAACTTGCTGGAAGCTGCACATTTACCAGAAGTCTTGGTATATTTAGAAGATTCCAATAGCAGGGCTGGGAAGTTGCGAGTGTATCTCCAGACTTAAGGGTTTTACTGTTCTGGAATGGTTAAAAGTTCCTCAGCTTGCTAACCTAGTGGCTTTGTGGCAGAAAAGACTGGCTTATCTCATTCCGTAAGGATTGATTACAGCCTAGAAAATCCCGTGGGGCAAATTATACTCTGTCACATAAGAAGAAATTGATAGATGGCATCTAACAACAGCAACAGTTGTTTTTACTCAATATGTCACTTTTTCTAAGCAGTACTGTGTAAAAGGTAAAGGTGGCAAGACAATCCTATAAAGTAGGCCTCGCCCTCAAGGGTTATTTGGGCACTGGAAGAGACCCAGATCTGTTACAAGGCAGTCTCAGAAAGTGCTATGAACACCACAGGAACTCAGGAGGAGGTTAAATAAAGATGAACAAATATGCAAACAGATTTTTTAAAAATAAAGGACAATTATGTTGTTGTTGTTAAGTGCCATCGAGTCAGTTCCAACCCCTAGTGACCCTGAACAGGGTTTCCGAGGCTGTAAATCTTTACGGGAGCAGAAAGCCTCATCTTTCTCCTGCAGAACAGCTGGTAGTTTCGAACTGCTGACCTTGAGGTTCACAGCCCAATTCATAACCACTACGCTACCAGAGCTCCTTAAAGGACAATGACTATGAAAAAGAAAAGCCTTTTATTAGTTAAGTAAAGTTAGTGATTTCAAGTGTTCGTTTGTACATCTTCAAGATTAAGCCCACCCCTAATTCCCATACCCTATCATAACCTGTTTTACTTTCTTCAAATCAATTATCATGATCAAAATTACTTCATTAGTCAATTTCTTTCTTTCTATATAGAATCACACCAGGTTGAGCCCAGCAGCTGCCTGTGAGAGAAAAATGAGACTTTCTGCTCCCATAAAGTTGTGGTTGTTGTTGTTAGTGCTGTCAAGTCCATTCTGACTCATAGTGACCCCTGTACAGGGTTTCCGAGGAGCAGCTGGTGGGTTTGAAGCTTTGAACCGCCAACCTTGTGGTTTGCAGTCCATTGCTGATCCTAAAACACCAAAATCAGGAGTCCCTACAAGTATTTGTTGTTGTCGGTTCCGACTCATAGCGACCCTGTATGGGGTTTCCAAGGAGCAGCTGGTGGGTTTCAGCTACCGACCTTGCGATGTGGTTTGCAGTCCAGTGCTGACACACCAGAAACCCAGTGCTTGGTGGGCAGTAAATCAAACAACTCTTGATTCATAGACCTCTAGCAAGAAGCCTTCATCACAGGGAAGCACTGCTGAGTGAGGCTGCGTGACTCTAGAACATCATAAACAAGACGGAACTTGACCTGACTAGTCGTAGAGCAATGTGCTTACCAGACGATTCAGGCATAATTGGGTTTCAGGAAACGAGAGAGCCTCCCTCCCTTACTGAGCGCTCTCGGGACACGTACCTTTCAGGTCTCCATTACCATCCTTGTTGCTGTCCTTGAAAGACCTCGGGTAGATCTGGTACATGGGCCCCACCTGCCACCAGTCCAGGCACTTTGGAGACAGGGCGATGATGGCTATGGTGATGCTGGTGAGTACCAGCACTGAAGCCACTGTGAGCCAGAAGAGGATCTCTCGAGGGACCCGGTAGCAAGCCTGGCCGGAGAACTGGAGCAGCACCTCCTTGGGCATCCCTGCGTAAGGTCGCACGTCCTCTGTGCCATGGATATCCACTGCGCACAGCTGAGAGCTGTCATCTGGGCTGCCTGGATCCGGCTCCCTCTCTAGGATGTCTTCGTTTTGGACAAACCCGTTGTTTGTCCGGCATCCCTTCATACTCATTCGGAGAGAGTCTCTCTTGCCTCGGTCCTCAGCCATGTATCACGTCGTATCCCTTCTTCCAAGTGCCTCCCTGCAGTAACAAAGGTGAAAAGGTGGCTTGCTGAACTGCTTGGTAGTGTAATTAGCTTTGCGTGGTTTATAAATAAACCTGGGTGGACTTTGTTCCGCCAAGAAAGAAAAGTGTAAAGGTGAAGGGGCTTTTTAAAAAAAAATCTCCCTACAGCAAGGTATAAGAAAACGACACAAATACTGGATTTTGCAAGGGCAAAGGAGCTTTTTGTTTTGTTTTGTTTTGTTTTGAGAGTCTTTTCCTACAAATCCAAGAGACAACCCAATAGAGTAGCCTCAAGAGGGCCTGAAGGCAGGAAACCACAATACATTTTACTGAAGCTATTTTTTGTTGCATTTAAGTCAATATCTTTCTAATTTGTTTCCTATTTTTCAGAAAAGGACGTGGCTGCCAGTTCCTGGAAGCACTTACACAAGGCAGGGGTGGGAAGTAGGGATAAGAATTCAATGTCTAGCAAGTTCAAGTGCTTTACTATAGGTAAAAAAGTTTTTAAAAAACAAGCATAGTTACTCTGTAGAACAGAGCAGACCTGCCCAATAGGGTTTCCTAGGCTATACTCTTTACTAGAGGCCAATAGTGAGTTCAAGAATTCCTGGTGATGTGCTATAGGATAAGCACTGGACTGCTAGCCACAAGATGATTCAAACCCACCAGTTGCTCCTCAGAAACCCTATACAGTGACATTATGAGTTAGAACTGACTCCCTGGCACTTAACAAGTGAGTTCAAACCACCCACCTTTCAGTTAACCAAGCGCCGTAACTACTGGGCCACCAAAGCCCCTACAATGGTAAACAGTGTGTAATACCAGTGAGTTGGTTAATCATTGACAAGTGTAAAATCTATTTGCAATCTTAAGGAAAACTAGCTGTGCTTTCTTAGAAGATTCTGCAAGCCTGAAAAGAATGAAGTGATTGTGGTTTCCATTTCATCAGAGGTACTTACACTGACCCTTGAATCATTTTTTTTCTTTTAAATGAGGCATGTTATCTAGATCCCTAATATTACTGACTTTATAGAGCAACTCAGAGGCAATGTATTGCACAGAGAAATAAGCTGTTGGATCTTGACCAAGTTGGGTTTTTTCCTCAATGCCTGGCTCACTGAAGGCATCTCCCATCATTATTAAAGATGCAATTACATATTTACAAAACCAAAACATTTGACTTTTTGTATCTTGACACTGCTTTATCTCTCAAACACATCATGGTAATTGTCATTTATTATATTTAGTTTAAATTCATTTATTATATTTAGTTTAAAATTTTTAATTATAAAAACTAAGGGACATGAGACTCCAGTCTATTACATGATCCACAGATTTGGGACTTGTCAGCTTCAGCAATTGCTTGAGCCATTTCCTCTAAATAAATCTTTCTCTCTTTACACACACATACACACACACTTGAATGGTGTTGCTCATTTAGAGAACTTAGCCTAAAATAGTTGATTACAACCACCACGCTCAACTTGCAGCCAAATGATGGTAGAAAGCTTTATAAAGCGAACAGTAACACTAGAGAGGTAGGCACTCCTTAGAACAAACAACCAAATAAGATCAAAAGGGCTCAGGGATAAAGCTCAGAAGACAGGAAGGGATAAGAAAGACCAAGAAATGGGAAGAATAAACACAAGGAGGAAGTGGGAAGAATGCTGTTACATAGTGGGAACTATGTAACAATCAATAGAATGAATCAAATAATGCATGGTTTATTGAATGGAAAGCCAATTTGCTTTGCAAGCATTTACCCAAGTCATAATCAAAAGCTAAGTAATAATAATAAGTTGTTGTTGTTGTTGTTGTTAAGTGCCATCGAGTCGGGTCCGACCCATAGCGACCCTGTACAGGGTTTCCGAGGGTGTAAATCTTTACGGGAGTAGAAAGCCTCATCTTTCTCCCGCGGAGCGGCTGGTAGTTTCGAACCGCTGACCTTAAGGTTTGCAAGTTAAGGACGAAAAAAAACAAAACAAACGAGCAGTTCATTGCAGCCTCAGAACCCCAATGGGGTAGTTCGGTGCTTGTCCTATAGGGTTGCTAGAAGTTGTTATTTATTCAACAGCACACAACATCAAATATATTGTGGTGGTGGTGGTGGTGTAGACAGAAATATTATCTACTTTAAAGAAAATAAAAGTGAACTTGAACTGCCGACCTTGCAGTTCAAACTGACTTTGCAGTCCAGCACGTTAGCCCACAGCACCACACCATAACTCCAAATAGACATCATAATTTCTTAATGTCAATTAAAACCATAAATGTTAGTAGAAAACATGGAAAAATAAAGATAAGCAGATAGTTTGTATATATGAATTCACTAATAATCATGGAAATAAACAAGCATTTTCAATCATGTTTGGAAAGAACTTTTAGAAGATAATAGTGGTGACAAGGAATCCAGTATAACTTGACAATCATTCTAGAAAATAGTGTGCCAATATGTATAATGATGAGTTAACATTTTCAAAGGTAATAGAATTGGGCTAGCTGTATTAGATTTTAAAGCAGAAACCCCAGAAAAACAAGGAGTTGATACTAAAGAAGTAATAGGCCACAAAATCAATGGAACAGATTGGGATCATCATAAACAGACCCCTATTCAAAAGGGAATTTTAGAATATGAAAACGCCACCTTTCAAATCAGACAGAAAAAAACTATTGAAAAAGTGATGCTGGATTGGCTAGCTATTGCGTGGGGGTGGGGGTGTAATAAAGCTGTATGTTGTTGATAAGTGCCAGTGAGTCAGTTCTGACTCATAGCAACCATTATAGGGTTTCTGAGGAGCATATAGTGGGTTTGAACTTAATCTTGCAGTTAGTCATGTAATGCTATCCTACAGTACCACACCAAGACTCCAAATAAGTTCCATGTGGATAGGATTTAAAAATAAAACATAAAACTTTTTAAATTATAGACAGAAATATATCTACTTAAAAAAAATAAATAACTTTGGAATTAGGAAGTCTTTCAAATATAATTTTAAAACCAGTATCCCATGAAGGGAAAGATTGATAAATTTGATTCCACTAGTGAAAAACAAACAGAACAATATATAAAGATAAAAAAGAAATGACAGAGGGAGGTGGGGGTGAAGAGGAAAGAAGGCAAATGACAAACCAGGAAAAATATTTTAATACATATGGGAAGCTAATGTCTATTATATAGAAATTGATTTTTAAATTAACTTGAAAAATTAGAAACATAAGTGGTTAAAATCCCAAAATGCAAATCTCACTCAGAGTTTAAGAAATAGAAACCAAAACAAAAAGGATATACCAAATCATGTTTTTGGGTTTTTTTTACTTTTTATTGTTAACTGAGTGAAGGTAAACAGACAAGATCATGAGCTTTACTTTCAACCAATCATATGTTTTGTTTCATCTCAATGATCACTCTCCCCTCCCTTTAACAACAGTTATCCAGATTCCACCCTGTGGCTTCCCTTTTACATCTTATTTTTCACAAATGAACAAAGCAAAAATATTTGATGTATACATACAAACAAAAAATATATATTCATTTAAATGTCCAAAGGGCACATTTTGCAAGCCAGCCTCTGGCCCACAGGCACACGGCTTTTCTCAGTTCATGGGCCTAGAGTCCGCAGCTGCTCTGTCTATGCCATCGCCTCTGCCATTGTCTTTACTGTCCCCACTTTCTGGATAGGAAATCATGCTCCACTCATGTTCCTCATTCTTGATAGTCCTGCGGGTCCTCTGTTCCAGAAATGAAATATCACCTACTCCTCCTTTTCTTCTACAACTACAGCTGTGACCATCACAATGAATCCTGCTAACAATTACTCACTACTGAATCATAAAATCCTAGCATCATCATCCCCCATCCCCTTTCACCAGATCCATCTGGAAATGAGGAAAACTATTCAGTGGGGATGCTACCTTAACTCTCTCATTCTCAAACTAAGCACACTCATGAAAACTTGTAATCGAGTCACTTTGTGCCTTTATGGTGGTTATGTGCCATGGTGTCGGTTCTGACTCATAGAGACCCTGTACAGGGTTTCCGAAGCTGGAAATCTTTACGGGATCAGAAAGCCTCATCTTTCTCCCATGGAACAGCTGGTAGTTTCGAACTGCTGACCTTAAGGTTCACAGCTTGATTTGTAACCACTACACTACCAAAGCTCTTTGTGCCTTTATAGACCCCCATTTTTGATAGCCAATGTCTAAATTTCCCTATCAATACACTGCACTGAGGAAACAAGGTTGATCCTTGATATGAAGACTCCTTCCATATTGGTTGAAATTTTGAGTAACTGCATCCATAAGCAAAGGTCTAGTTCATCAAATTAAAGCAATTTACACTTGCTCACAGTATCAAACTTCTTTATCTTCATCTGGTTGATTTCTGGTCAGCTAGCCATCCAAGCTAGGTCAAATGGGTACTATCTGCAAGTTTGGGAATTCACGCATGCCTCCCCACACTTCAGACCAGCTGGCTCATCACTCTCAGCTCTACCCCTAGTGTAAACCATGGTATTTTTAATAACCTTGTGAAACAATTAATAAAGAAGACCATAGAAAAATTGATCCATTTGAGTTGTGGTGTTGGAGAAGAATATTTAAGGTACCATAGACTACCAGAAGAACTGGTCTATGTTGGACGTAGCACAACCAGAATGGTCCTTAGAAGCCAAGATGGCAAGGTTTTGTTTCATATTTTTGACATATTATCAGGAGGGACCAATTCCTGGAAAATTGGTAAAGAATTGGACATCATGCTTGGTAAAGTAGAGAGTCAGTGAAAAAGAGGAAGATCCCCAAGGAGATGGATTGGTGCAGTGGCAGTAGCAATGGGCTCCAGAGTAACAACAATTGTGAGGTTGGTGCAGGACTGGGTAGTATTTCATTCTGTTGTGCATAGGGTTCTTGTGAGTTGGAACCAAATTGATAGTTTGATAATACTCAAAATAAAAACATATGCAGGGAGGAGGACTTCTAGAAAGAT